TTTTAGTCGGAAAGACTTCATTTAATACTGAAATTTGTTAACTTAAAGTTAAGAGTTTAGCCAAAGATTGTAAATTGTATATAGCAACTGTAGCAATGATGTAAAATGAATTTAAAATGTTATGTAATAAATATGTTAAAATGTTGTGTTAAAGTAGAAGTTTTAAATGCCACTTTTGAAGGGTTTTAAATTTAAACTTGTACAAAAGATAAATATTTGGCCAAAGTGTAAGTGAAAAATGTAAAAGAAATGGATGATTAGAATATGTGTGTGTAACGTTAGGCTCTCCAGCTAACACTTAAATGTTCAAGTCAAGCTCTGGTTTAACACATCGAGGTAGTTTTGTGCATAGAGAGTCTTCTAAGGTCTAGTAATGTCAAGTTTAACAATGATAGATGATGTTTAGGGATAGCGTGTGTTCGCGGTAACATTATTACGTTCAGTACAATCAGAACAAATTTGTGGAGAGCATTTAGGGAAGAGAAGTTTATGTGAATGAGTTTAATGAATGAATGCAAATTGTGTAAGGGCCAAAGGATGTCGATAAAGAGTAATTACAAGGAATTTGAAAATTTTGTAAAAGATAAAACTAATACGATTTCCTTCCAGATAATTTGGAAAGACCAAGATTTAAAAATCCTTGACCAAGAAGAAGCTGTTGCATGTCTAACACAAATGGAAAAAAAAATGTAATTTTTTTTTTTTTTTTTTTTTTTTTTTTTTTTTTTTTTTTTAAGCTTTAGTCTAGCTTTCAATTTTGTGTGAAGTTGGCCTTAAACAAGAAAGTTCAAAGTTAAAACTATTTAATGCAAAGGGCTAGGAAGTGTTACATTTAACTTGACAAATGTTTGGAATTTAAAATCTTAAACAAGGTCGTTTTGAGACCTTATTCTTCGAGTATTTAAATTAAATTCTGGCCGGGAAAGTTGTAAGGTTTATCCTAAGTTTTTAACAGTTAATTTTTAGTTAAGCCAATTTCCTGTCGCTTCTAATTTCAGCTTACAAATTTCCTGCCAGATGTGATTTCAGAATCGCCGTTAAATGCAAATGAAGGAAGAGCAGTATTTAAAGTCGAAGTTCTACTGACTTCGTTAGAGAGCCAGAGATTATGACCAGCGCGCGTTCACCTTTTGGCTACACTCTCTCTAAGCTATTTCTATGCTGTGCCGTATTTCAGGCCTTTGATAGTTTGCCGTTTAGTTAGTTAGCGTTAAAGGGCCAACTCCTGTAGAATTGTGATAGCTTCGGCTATATCTCTTTAGTTAAGTTAGGTTTTATTTCTTATAGCATTCTTGAGTTCAAGCCCGAGTAGAGGCTTTTCTGTATGTCCTAAGAGAGGACCATATGTTAAATTTATTTTGATCAATAAAGGGTAATTAACCCTTTCCGACTATCTGTTCTATGTCTTCTGAATTAAAGCGATTATTGCTGAAAATTATTGATTATTGCCACACACATTGCTGAAAATTCTAGGTTGGAACACTACAATATGATATATATATGAGGAAATATTGAGTAATAGGAGATTGAAAGGCAACAAAATAAGAAGAAGATTCATTCTTTCTAAAAATACTGTTTTATCTCTTCTATATGAACATCTGTACATGAACAAAGTCTCTGCATGATGAATACCTCGACTTCTCCCAGCAGTTCAAAAACAGCTATGCGTGAATGTAATTTAAAATAGGAATGTGGCAAAACTTAAATTCCAAAGTGCCAAGGTGTTATTTTGCTTCTTTTTCTCTTAGCAAAATCATCGATTGCATTCTACAAACTTTTAAAACTCCAACTGATATTCTATAGACCGTACAGCAAAATTTCTTAAATGCAAGATACTCGTTTTCAGGTTTTAGGTTCTTCTTAACCTATTTGTATATAGAAAATTCCTCTTACAGCGAGTAATACTCATGGCAATTGTGTGGAAAATTCGCAGTATTACAATATTTGAAATTGCATTCATGGTAATAGACAGCAAAAATTTCAAAGAGACCGTCTTTCCATCAATCGATTTCTATTCTATGCAGTAACAGCTATAAAACTATAACTTTTTTCTTATAGCAAAGAACTCTTTCTTATTTATGTCGTTTTGATCATAATTTATTTGGTAATTGTGTTCTCCAAAGAACAAGAAGCTATTGAAATCTCTTTTTAATTTCTTTAAATACTGTGCAATATGAAAACAGATTTATCCACAATGCAGTGTTGTATGATATTTCAGCTTCTCTTCATTCATTCCCTCACGAGTAACTGAGTGGCTAATATGCCTAAATATGAATAGTTCGGTCTGATGTCCAATCTCAAAGACCGTGTTGGCTGCAATAGCGTTTTCATGAATTACTTTTAGGGTATGTAACGTTGTATTCACCTAAGTACGACGTGAATATAAGGCTTTGCCCTTTCGTAACATGAATATAAGCTAGAGAGCTTTGCAGAAATCCAATAAATCTTGTAATACTTCTTTGTGCTTCGAAGATCCAGATGACTAACCCCTATTTTATGTTTCACGTGAAAAATGCGATCCCCAAAGATGCGCCGCCCGAACGGACTGCCCTCGTTTGCACCTGTTCTAAAAATAATAAAAGCTTTGAAGACCTTTCTTTCGCGTTATTTCTTTATTTAAAACTTAATAAAATTGTAAAATGTATCAGCTATTTGCTTTGTTCGCTTTCCCTTGCGATATTTATATTTCCCTCTTGATGCAGAATTTTAATATAGTCAAAATTAAATTGATCTTTGCAATAGGTTCTTCAGTGGAAACATCTCTTATTTGATGCAGTATGATCCAAAAATCTCTTGATAGAGTAATTTCATGTGTTCTAATTCTCCTTATCTCCATTTCAGCTGTCAGTGTTCATATAATTTTAAATCCCTTTCTTCTGTCATATAATTAGAGCTTTACTTATTTCTACCCTACATTTTTTTTTTTCAAGTGTAAGCATCTTGCAAATTGACCTTAAATATTTAAATTCTGCAGGAAACCTAATTTTGAACGCTATTTTCGATTTTCGTGTGTGATCGTAAAATTCAAAATATTATTCTTATCTCTCTCGATTAGCCAAAGAAGAGTTCCTAATACCCAAATGACGTTAAATGAACATTTGCAAAGAGGAGAAGATAACTGTATTGGTTCAAAAATACAATGGACTCTCATCTTTACGAACCTCTAATTTACGAATTTCTTGTTTTCACAAACTTTTATGTCTGTCCTGAAAAGTGTCCCACAGAGCTGCTGCTAATTTTAAATTCAATATATTGATTAAAAGTACACATTCTCTTTTCTATGAACTTGATTTCTCTACTTGTTATTCCAAAGGGCGTTAACCAAAAAGAGGTATTAATTTCGTTGTGGCATTTTGTGTCGGTTCACTATAAATGTAGGTTCACGTTTCAAATTGTTGCCACTAAATATTAGCTTCTGAAGCTTATCAGCTTGCTTCTGAAGTGGTAACTACAATAACTTATTTACTTCAATAAAGCACAAAACAATTTGTTTCTTCCTCAATTCAGATTGGAATGAGAAAGACACCTTGCTGAAATTCATACAAAGCAAAATCAGTTACAATCCAAAATAGTAAAACGAGTACCAGTACCATACATTTGATTTAACAATACTTCATTGATCAAAAATAAAAAAGTACTAAAATAGTATAAATTATAATCTGTATCAATCCTGCTATTCTTTCTAAAAAATATTTAAACCAGTAGTTAAAATTAATTACTGAGGTTAATAATTGTGTTAATAATTAATAAGTACGGTAAATAAACTATACAACTAAAGTAAATACGATATATAATCTATCTAATAACCTATGATAAAATCTAAAATCTACTCGTATATTTGTTCATAGGTTATTATTTTTATTTAAAACGAAATGTGAAAAAATATTTGCATGATTTACTATCTAGCTTGCTTTTTCAGTGCAGTCCAATTCTCAGATTCTGAAGTATTTGTAATTTTTATTTGATATACATTTCATATACATTCGGCTGTATATGCGTTTTAAACCCATATGCAATCATTTAAAACCCACTTTAGATGATAAATTGGAATTTGTAAGATGATGTATTTCTGAATAGATAGGTTCATATGCATTTGAGAAAAGCAGGGACCATCCTAATTTTTTTATTTTCATTTATTTCTAAATTAAAAAAAATGCTTTCGTTTTAATCTCCCTTTTCTATTTGTTCTTCGTTCATTATTTTAAAATAAATTTCGATACTGTTGAATCAGAGATTGCTGCATAGGGATGATAATGAGTAACAGTTTCCATGTGCCAAGATTCATTAATTCGTTTTGTCTATTCCATCATTCTTCTTTCAATTATGAAAAGTTGCTCGAGGTCTATACGCTTAATTCTAATTTAATCTCCACTATACTGTGAGATGCATATAAATAATTAAATAAACTGTTAATGCAATAATTAGTAATCAGTATTCAAAACCGAAATTTAAATAGCCAGATGAGGGTCGTTAACTATAAGATGGTTAGCTCTCTCTCTTAGTAATCTTAGTTTTGCCCAAAGAATGTCAAGAGGCTTATAACTTTCCCTTTTTTTAATTACTGTAACCTACTTTTGTTGATTTCTGTGATAAAAGAAGAAATTTTTGTTGGAAATTCCTCAATTAACATACCGTAGTCAGAACCTCATGTGTTTTACCACAATTGTTTAGCAAACTAATTAAATCTTCCTGGAAATTTACATTTTGATTTTGACTCAACTAATTCCGTTATTCGTCTATATTAATAGTGGCTTCTGTTTATCCTCTGGTTGTAAGCATCTGAAGTAAATTCTAGATATTTGAATTACAAAACACTGTCGACGATAATAATTTATTTCATTATTTATTTAATAATTTATTTTATAATTTATTTAATTTAGTCTGAACTACAGAATGAGTCGGACATTTATCTACATTGAATGTGTCATTATTGCTTTTGTGATAAAATGTCTTAATATAGTCTAAAATAAAATACAGATATCTAGAAGAATGACAAGCATATCTTATCAATCTTTTTTTTTAAACTCTGTCCGTCGAGGTGAACTTACTTGGCGAGGCTGCTATTGAACATGCACACAGCTTCTTATCTCTCTGAGAGGACGATACGGAAGTCATAAGACTGCGGGTGTAAAGATTGTCTTCGTACTAAAAGGTGAGATTTATTTCGTGTTTTGCTTGTTATTAACTGAAATTATATATACTTTTTTCTAAAAATTTAGTATAAATCAGTTTCCTTTAAAAAGCAGAAATTTTCCATCCTAGGCAAATCAATCAAACGCGCCATTAAAAGTTCTTTTGATTAGTTTCAGATTCTGCATCTCTTAATAGCCTCCATTAGAAAAGCCTCTAAGAAGGCAGTCCTCCTTTTGGACAGATAGATCCCATGTACTTTTCCATAGTTAAATAAACTATAGTTTTATTTCCAGTAAATTTCTAGAACGTTTTCCCTGAATTTAGTAAAGATTTAAAGCTAATTTCTTCAGTTTATACTCTCCTTTTCCTCTCCTAGTTTTCGAAATTTTGAGCCATATGTAAGTCAGAAATAGAAATATACATGTGAAGTCAGCATTTTGGAGCACCTAAACTGCTATTTTTAAACGTTATGCTATTAAGATATTCTTTTCATTTTATTCTTTAATATGCAAAAGGTTTTTAAAGTTCAATATTTCATAATAGTCAAAAAATTTTCTTTCAGAAACGAAATTGTTTTTTGTAATAGGTAACAAGCTTACCACATAATCAACAACCCTTTAAATATGACGCACTCATATATTATGCTTGTGTAAAATAATGAAATACTAAGTAAAGAAAGCAAAGAAATAATTAATATTGGAACATGTATCCAATCGAAAACTTTAAAACGCTAAAAATCCTATATTAAAACCTACATGAAATCCTATATCATAAATCTTTATTATTATTGATACTATTATAATCACATTGTAGCGTTGCGCGCCTCCAACTTGCACGCAACCAAGAGGTGACTGTTGAAACTGGATAAATGACAGAGTCTTGTGAAGGGTTTAAGTCTCTTTTTATTCAACGTAATAAAATTACAATTGCGTGCTCTTGACGCTCACAGACTACGCCAACTCGGCGGTCAAATAAAAAAAATAATAACCTGAAAAGAAACTAAAGACAAGATTCTAACTACGAGGCTCTCTAAAATAACTAACTCACCGCGTTTTACAATACCGCTGCTAATTCAGCAGACTTGAAGCTCACTGGAACGATGACCACTACTTCCCGCCAAGCACATAGGCCGCAACGCGGGGTTCTTCAATTTCTCGCTAACTACCTCCGCGCTCGTGAAGTAAGAAATATCACACACCGAACTCGTTTCCTTTCTATTTAAATCAGAATACTTCCGCTGATAATTTGAATCCTTGCGCGTTCTACTAAAATTTACATATTCTGGCATTGGCAGTTCCAGGGGAAAGTAAGGCTTGACAGGAAAGATAGTTTAAACTTAAAATAAATGTTAGTTAAAATAAATATAAACCCTACAACATATAACAATAATAATAATAATAATAAAGCATTATGATATATATATAAGAAAAATAAAGAATATATAAAATATTACATTACCAGCGTAAATTAATAAAATAGTAATCTCTCTGCGCTGCGTCATTTCGAGATTAATCCGTGCCATATGACTCTTACATAATTCTGATAATGTAAATGGAACTAAAACTCAAACAGCCATTATTAATTTTACGGCAGTATTAATTATCCAATCAAAATGCATTGAGAACTGAAACTAAGTCTAAATTAAGATTTCAGCCTGAACATAGCTCACTTGCTTTCTACGCTTTGGCCTAGCTGGACTGCAGTCTGTCTGCTCCTACTTTCTTACTGCAAATGTATCAAACATGTAAACTTTTGGAATAGGCATAAATAATGTAACAACTTATTGTGGTTGCAATATGTTTGCTGAAATAAAAGTTGAATTAAATCTACCTCGACTGCCAAATTTCTTAGTCATTGTGGACTGGATTTTCAACATCTCTCAGCCATCAAAATTCTCGCTGTTCATTACGAATTCAACCGCCTGTGTTATACTACAGAATTTATTATATATATATATAGTATATACTATAATTTTATTATTACAGTTATATTTATCAGATATTTGAACTATACAAATGTTTTGAATATTTTGTCAATTTTAGGATACGTGCTGATCAGTACCCTGATAGTCAATTTTAAAACTTTTAAACATTACAGCACGATAATCATAAATAGAAAGATTGTTTTTTTGAAAGTGAATCCAGATTTAATCAGATTTACTCCTTACATTCTGTCATTAATTTCCCTTTTGAGATCTGATAAACGCTAAGGGAAATATATATTCTGCTTTGAAAGGAAGTTTCTTAAATCTTATATCTTGTTTCCTTCAGGTAAAATAATTAAAATAATAAATAATAAGAATGTTGGAGGTATTTAACATAGAAGAAATAATGAAATATTGTTTTGTAACTGATACATTTGCCTCTAAATGGAGCGGTATAAAATTTTCAGGTTTAAATAATAGACATTGTCTTGAAAACTGATAAAGAAATAACATAATTTCAATAAACTTATGTTAACATTTCTGTATATCTATTTACTTGTCTTTCAAAATAGTCTAATAAGTGTGTAATCCTTAAATTCTTTGTTGTTTTTAGCTGATAAAATCGTCCAAAATGCCAGCATTCAGTTTTTTTAACACTGTCCGAAAACTATATTCTTGAATAACAATATTTTATCACTATTATTCAATAGAAGTGCATAAACTATGTTTTTATAGTTTTTATTTATATAATATTTTACTATTAAATTAGGAACCATTACGTGGGTTTATAATGCATAATACGGAGATTTATGTTCGCATTTGGCAGAATAGGCTTTAAAGTGAAATTACTTCCTCTTGAAAAGTAAATATTTAGATTAAAGTTACAAATATCAGACCACATTTTTATTCCTTTGGACTTTCCTTTGGTCATTCCTATCATGCATTCCCATTTTAAAATTTAAGAAACTTTTGTCTGTTTCATTAGGCTACCATTTCCAAAAATGTTTTTCGCTTGACGCACATATAAATAACATTTCGCAACAATATTTTATCTCTGTGATATAAAACACATGAATCTGTTACTGAGCTGAACTGATGATCCTGTTACTGAATTCTAATATGAAATCAAAATCACATGAATTTTTATGTGCATCGAAAAGATCATTTAATGATAGACGTTTTTATTTTTCTATAGGATTTGGCGTCCTGGGTTCTTGTCTTAAAGGGTTCAGAAAAATTCAATAAAAGATAGGAACTAATAATCTTAACATAACTTTTCAGTATCGAAAGATTTCAAGTAAAAACTTTCACAGCACTCATCTTTCACTATTTCAAAACTGAAATTGTCAGAAACTGAAGCTTAAGTGATAATTCCAAATGAGTGAATAAATAAAATTCGAAATATAAATTATATCCTGTGAGAAACACCCCCATCCGTCCATATCAAAGTAATTCTGTGCTTTTCATTTCACAGTGAATGATTTCTAAACCTTGTTGAAAAAATATACCATGCAGTTCCCTAATTCGATTCAACTGCTGGTCAGATTTCTGATCCAGAAATAATTTACTAATTCCTGGCTACAAAAAAAAAAAAAAAAACGCTCTTTTTATTCATCACCTATAAAATTTATTTCTCAGAATTCGTGAATTCAAGCCATTTATAAGCACTGGCAATTTTTTTAGCAGGTTCTAGTTTAATTCATACTGGAGGAAGGAATATTTTTTTATGATTCACAGACGTGCACTACTGTTGATATTAAAATTATCTGGGTTTAGTGATGCTTGGTTTTTTAAATGTTTTTCAGAATAATGATTTTTTTCTCACTGTTATACTGTTTGCAAAGAAAACAAAGCAGATTATGAAGGACAGTTAAGGATAAAAAAACAATGTTTATTTTAAAGCATCAGCGAACATTCCATTTATAATTTTCATATTGGAAATTTTGTTGGGAGATAAATTTGTAGGCATTTTCTGCAATGGAATATTTTCGATCAGGTAAGAATTTATTTCAGTTATCTATCTAAGTTCTAATGTAAATTATTTCATTGGATTTTAATTTTATTGACAGAAATCGGAAGTGGAGGATAAAATCTGAATTTACAGTATGGAACGAGTTCCCAAAAAGAACCGGAAATGTTTCTCGTAACTGAAATTTCAATATATTTATTATTAGAGCTTCAATTTCAGTATATTCTCGCATTTTTAGAATTTGGTTTGGATTTACTTATAAGGTATTTTCTTTCTTCTTTCTATATTCCTTATGGGTAGGAGGAAGAAAATATTTGTGGGGTAACTGGAAGCACGCTTGACGCGTATTCGGGAAGTCCGAAGTTCGATTCTGGGCGGAGGCATTGCAAGTTTTTCGCATTCCAGCATCGACAGAACCTAATGACTACACATTATATTATAGTAATGCACACTAGGGTCAAACACAATGCCGACGAGAAAGGATGCCTTGGAGGAATTTCTCACAAATTCTGACTTGGATTCACATCACAGAGAATGAAAACTAGGAAACAGACTATACAGCCAGCTCATTCATCAGTTATTTGAATTCGAGTAGAGCTACTACTTTACAGTGATGGTCTCATCCTCTCAGCTTCGTTCTATTAAGAAATTCTTACTATTATCATGTGACGTCAACAAATGAAAACATTTAGAAAACTGTGGCTGATAGCTAAAATCTGATACATCTATGATAAAATTAATTTTATTTGATCTTAGACAAACATTCTGTAATCAGTGTTTCCTGTCATATACGTGCGACGTATGATAATAACTTTTGCTTTTGTCCTCAGTCAAATATCCTATAATTTCTAAAGAGTGGAAATGTTTTGTTAGGTACTTTTCACATTCAGTTTTCTTGGTACTCAAATACTGAAACTACAATTTAAATAGATGAGAAACATTCTGCCAAATCATTTATTAGAACTGCATTAACATTATTTCAAAAAACAAAATCAGGTACACAGACGTTCAAAATTATTGCTGAAAAAAAACAAAAATTTATTGCAAGCTCATTGCCATAATATTTACATTATGCCCTGAGGGTATATGTAAAAGTATAGAAGATGAATGCCTTTTAAAATTTGTCAAATTTAAAACTTGTTTTTTCCCCCTGCCGATGTAGAAACTTACTTTTCTCATACTAACGCAATTAATTGTTATATAATCATAAATATCCAAAATGTTTAATCAGCTGTTCATGAACTTAACTTCACTCCCATTTTAAGATGAAAATGAAACACTGATATGTTGTACTGAGCCAATTTCAGTACTCTTAATATAATCGAAAAATTGTATTTCTATTACCAAATTGGATCTTCATCAATGAGAAGTAGTTAATTTAAACGAACAGAAGGAAATTTTTAATTTGTTTAATTTGTTCTAATTTTCTGGTTATGACGTATTAGTCATAACATTTTGCATGAATCTCAATTTTATACGTTCGTTATATTCTGATGAAAAAAAATATATTTGCTTTTCATATTACAATTAAAAGGTATTTTCTTCCTCCTTTCCGCGTGCCTTCGTGATGTAACTAGAAGCATACTCGACGTGTATTTGAGAGGTCAGGGTTCGAGACCAGGCGAGGGCACTGAACAGTTTTCACGCCTCATGCTTCAAAAAAAAAAAAAAAAAAACTTAATGACTACAAGTGGCCAATGACTTTACAAGTGACTCCTGAACTAAAAGGTGCTGCACCACTACAATTTGACGACTAGGTCCACTAACATCTAGTCGCCCTTTAGAAGGGAGTGTATATAAGGTATTTTCTGCCTCATTTCCGTATGCCTTCGTGGTGTAATTAGAATCATACTCATAGCGTGTTATAGAGGTGCAGTGTTTGAGTCCCGGGCACTTCCACATTTTTCACGTCTTCTGTTTTTTTTTTTTTTTTTTTTTTTTTTTTTTTTTTTTTAACTCTACATAGCAAAGAAAATATTTAGTAGCTTCACACAGATTCTAACTTCGTCGATATAATGATGCAGTTACTTATTCCTCTTTGGTATTGAAGGTCAACTGGCAAAACTACCATCCATTTTCTTCATTTGAAAATTAGAACAAATTAAACAAATAAAAAAATTTTCCTTCTTGTTCGTTTCTTCTCATTTCACAAAATTTGTTTCTGAGAGTGGTATTGTTGACCTAATACTCTCACTAGTTAAAGGCCATGCTTACATATAACAACATTTATTGATGTGTTGTATATTTATTAAATATGTTAGTTATAAAAAATACTAGTATAGAAAGGGCTTGTGTGCCTCATTATTTGATTTGGTTTCAGCATGCTATGGGGCAGCAAGATTAAGGGAGAAGAAGCTTAAACAGAAATTTAGAAAACTGATATTTCTTAATTGACCTTTTGTGTACAGCTACAACTGATGCGTTTATTGATCGCAGTGTTAAGATTCGAGAAATTGTCTATCTTAAATTCATTATTAAAATTTCCACGAACTTAGCATATCTTAATGTGTTTCGAATGAATGTGTTAATGGCGGTGATACAATCGAATTCAACACTTTGTTATTGTTTAAACCGAAGCAGCTTAACATTTATCTCTTTTCAGCTCTAGAATGACTTCAGAAGAAAAGAAAGTTCTTCCTCAATTGCAAGACACCGGGTACGGTTTCCCTATCGCCAAAATGTTTTCACTTGAAGCATTCAAATCGGCTTTGGAATACAAACCCCGACCTGATGATTTATTCATTGTTACTTATCCTAAATGCGGAACTACCTGGGTTCAAAACATAGTCGCCTCTATATTCAGGGAAGGAAAGCCTTTCACATCTGCTTTAGAATTTCTTTCGAACACTCCTTTCCTAGAAATGGCCGGAGCCGAAGCTGCTAGAACAATTAAGCGTCCAGGAGCTATTAAATTGCACCTTCCTTTTCATTTAACACCCTGGTCTCCAGAAGCAAAATACATATTCGTGGCTAGGAATCCAAAAGTAAGAAGATAGTGTTTTAATTACAGTAAATCCTTGCCGAATGCATTAAAACATGACGCGCACGTCGAAATCGCTTTTAACAAAATTAACTTTCTATGGAAAAAAGGTGTTAGGTATAATTCAGACTATGAAAGTACATTTAATTTAAACAAACTTAAATATGGCTGTAGCTAAAAGGGAAAATAAAACAAATGTTAATTGACAGGATTTTTATTTCTGCTTGATAAGTAAGTATACGATACCATTATATATACATATCGTTTTTTTAAATTGGTGGTTTTTGCTTGAGACAACGATTAGGGCAACTCTTTAAAAGTTTCGCAGTAAGTGACACAGAATTTTCTAATGCCTTTCATTAAATATCATTTTCTTTCTTCATTTGGCTCAATCTTCATTACAAAATCAAACTATTCCTTAGCCATTTTAAAAGTTCATTTAATTTCTTATAATTTAAAGGCATGTATCTTCTTTATTATCGATGCTTTCACTGTCGGCAAATACAAGATCATCTAACTCTTCAATCGTCATCTCTCGATCGTCTTCTCTATTAATTCTTTAAAGTACTCCTTCTTCTATATCTGAAAATCCTTCACTTCCAATTTCTCTTGCATTTTGTTTTATTTCTTTGGATACATTTTCAGTCAATGGAAATTCTTTAAAAGTGTTGACAACTTTTCGCAAAAGTTGATGCCAGCAAGCATTCAGTGATGAGGAATGAGCGCGCGCGGGGTATCAATGAAAGTTTAGCGTTGGGCAAATTAAATGAAAACAATTAACATAACGTGAATATACAAAATCGTGTTCCGCAAATTCACATTTGACAAGGGTTTACTGTACATTTTATTTTTACTTCTATTCTTCTTATATTCATTTAAGTTCAATATCATGTTATGCTGTGTGCAGTATTTAGTTGTGATACTGAATTAAGAATATTATACAAATAAAATATGAAAACATTTATAAGTTTCGCATTTTTTTTTTCAAGAATGCAAGGAAAGAGTAAATGTCTAAACTATTGAGAATGTTGATTTCGTGTGATACTCATATCAGTAGTAATATATGCATTTTAAAAAACTCAAAACACATTTGTGATACTAAGTGATGAGTAAAATATTTAGCTAGACATCAAGATTAAATATAGTAAAATACTACATAGTGTGAAAGGAAATGGGGAATGATATATTAACCCAAAGACTACATTTTTTCGTTTCAAGCAACATTCAAGCGACGAAAGCATATATCATTAGCGAAGACGGTGCTAAATAGACAGCAGTAAAATTATAAATCAAACAAGCTTTTGCAATCACTCATGCAGCAACTGATTATCTGACTGATAACTGTTATTTTTTAGACTGACTGTAAGGTCGTCAAGCTGTCTTTCAAATGGTAAGCAGTTTGAAGCACGAAACTGGTTCGTGTTGTTGTGCTCTGAGATGTGGTACAATAATGACGCAGGAATGTCAATCAAACTGATTTTTTACTTCCTTGTACGAAGTAATGACGAAAAATTCGGGTATCTTATTTCAACGAAAATATCCATTTCGACCCTGTTGAATGCAAAACGATGCTTTTGCATGACATCTGTACGTAAGGACAGAATAAAGGACTCTTTTTTCCCTAAAGGAATTATAAAACTGATTTAAAATGGATTCAAAAGATACTTTTTCGTGGCGCCTGTACGTACGTATGTATGTATCTAGCATAACTCAAAATAAATAAATTATATATATATATATATATATATATATATTTATTTACTAATATTGATTATATTATCTCCTAATATAAAGTTAGTAGAATGTATCTGAATGAAGTAACTCAGAAGCAGTGAAATTTAATCTAGAAAATAATGTTTTTAAGGGAATTTGAATTTAAATCATGAAGAATAGAAATGGAAACTAATTATGAATCAAATTAATCATTAATCATTGTCTTAAAAGACAGGCGTTAAATACTCTATCTATATCATGTAACTGATAGGGATATGAAACTTTGTTCCTAAACCTGAAAAGGCAGTATAAGTTGGATGACTATCAGTTGGAGGATTTGTACATAATGTAATTATGGAAATAATTGTGTATAATATAGAAAATCGTCGTTTTCTGGCCTTTTTCTTATTCCTTTCGCTGTTACTTAAAAAATGAGCCTATTTCAATAATCTAAGTCTGCTAAATAGCTCGTTAGCAATGAAAATTACCTCTTCTTCTTTTCTTTCTCGTTCCGCAACGACAATTAGCTAGACATTAATAAATTTCCTTTCACTAGTCAGTATAATATCAAGATTTTAACAGACGCATTTACACTTGCAAAAGACCAGTTTATTAATTTTCCTTTTAAAAGTTTCAATTTCTATTTTTCATGATTTAAATTCAAGTTCGTTCAAAAATACTATTTTCGAGATCAAATTTCAATGCTTCTGAGTTACTTCATTCAGATACATTCTACTAACTTTATATTAGGAGATAATATAACAATATACTTTAAAAATTATTATTATCTTACTTGCAGCTATTGCGCGTAAGGAAATTTATTCCGAAAATGAATAAAAATATTTGTAGGGTTTATATTTATTTTAACTAACATTTATTTTAAGTTTAAACTATCTTTCCTGTCAAGCCTTACTTTCCCCTGGAACTGCCAATGCCAGAATATGTAAATTTGAGTAGAACGCGCAAGGATTCAAATTATCAGCGGAAGTATTCTGATTTAAATAGAAGGAAACAAGTTCGGTGAGAGTGAGATTCTTACTTAGCGAGCGCGGAGGTAGTTATCGAGAATTGAAGAACCCCGCGTTGCGGCCTATGTGCTTGGCGGGAAGTAGTTGCAATTGTTCCAGTGAGCTTCAAGTCTGCTGAATTAGCAGCCGTATTGTAAAACGCGGTGAGTTAGTTATTTTAGAGAGCTTCGTAGTTAGAATCTTGTCTTTACTTTCTTTTCAGGTTATTATTATTTTTATTTGACTGCCTAGTTGGCACAGTCTGTAAGCGTCAAGAGGACGCAATTGTAATTTATTACGTTGAATAAAAAGGGACTTAAACCCTTTATAAGACTCTGTGGTTTATACAAGCTTTCACAGTCACCTCTTGGTTGCGTGCAAGTTAGAGGCGCGCAACGTTATATTGGCGCCCGAACACTTATCGAACTGAAATGGCCGAAAACTGGATGGAAGCCGCTGGACAACACCAAGAAATGACAACGCAGTTAGAAGGATTTGGATACCTGGTCCAGACTTTGAGAGCATCAATCAAGCCAAACGTCTATTTCGACGGAAAAAATTCGGTGTCCGTATTTTTTAGAAGGTATAGAAAACCACTTTCAGCTCTACCCTGTGCCTGAAAGACAAAAAGTTGCCATCGCCACATCAGCACTAAGAGGACAGGCCGCGCTATGGTGGAAAAATATAGGCAAATTTCTTCTAGGTGAATTTGGAAGCCCGACGTATACATTTGAAAATTTCAAAAAATCGTTAGTAAAGGCCTTCCCCATAGTGAAAGATCGCGCACGGCTGGAAGCCGAGCTATATAGTTTCTATCAACGGGATACAGCACAATTGACGGACTTTATTTTACGAAAAATCAAGCTAACGGATATGCTGTATGGAAAGAAACCCGATGCGGAGATTATTGAAATAATATTACCAAGATTGTTACCCGCTGTCCAAGACTACTTTGAAATTAGAAACCCAACCACATTGCAGGAACTTTTCGAATTGGCGGTGAAGTTTCAAAATCGCAGAATAGCGGAAAAGAGCGAGAGGGGAAACATATTCTCAAAGTACCCGAAGGAAGGAGGAAACCAGAAATGGAAATCGCTCATATGGGGGAAAGAACTATCAAGCTAACGCATCGAAACTCGAAGGTCAAGGCCCAAAAGAAAATTTGAAAATAAGCATCCGCGTACCCAGAAGACACAGATTGAAAGGAAAGCTTTAAACGACTAGAGGGGCCTGTGAAAGGGAGGGTCCAGACCCCGGAAGTTTTAGAAAAACCCTCAAATAGACATTTAAATACAGTCATCGTAAAAAACTCACAGCTACCAATTATACAAGTCCTGGTTGGCGATGTACCAGTAGAAGCCCTCATCGATACAGGAGCAGAAGGAAATTTCATGAGTGAAAAGTTCTTCAAAAAGAATTTTTTATAGGATACGACTCTTTAAAACCAGAAATACGGAAATTATAGCGGCGCAAGGAAAAACATGTCACTGCATCGGGAAAGTATCATTAAACTTACAGGTAAAAGAGGAAAATCTCAAAGTATTAATTTTTGTGGTGAAAGACCTCCAACACTCTCTTATTTTAGGTATGGACTTTTTAAGGGCCGCGAGGGCCAAATTAAATTTTCAAGATAGTTCCGTGGTGCTGGAGATGGACCAGAGGGTGGTGGTGGAACCTGTGGAGACACCTGAATTGGACCTTAGCCATTTGAATGACCAGGAAAGTAAAGCAATACAGCAAGTGGTGAGTAATTTTTCTCATTTGTTTTCAGAAAAACCGGGAAACTGTCAGATCGTGACTCACAAGATTCAATTAAATGCCGAAAAACCTTGTAGGACTAAACCGTATCGCTATGATAAACAAAAAGACTTAATCATCGAAGAACATATTCAGGAGATGTTAAAGAATAAAATAATAACGCCCATAAATAGTGAGTACGCGAGTCCAGTCGTACTATGTAGGAAAAGAACGAGTTTCCTCCTTCGGATAAAAGGGCTTGGAGGTTTGCTATCGATTATAGAAAACTAAATAGCATAACTAAATTTCCAGTTTACCCTTTGCCGGTTATAGACGAGATCATTAGACAGATCAAATCGACAAGATATATGTCTACTTTGGACTTAACGTCTGGCTACTATCAAATAGCTATGAGACCCGAAGATATACATAAAACCGCGTTTATAACAAAATCGGGCACTTATGCATTTTTACGCATGCCTTTTGGGTTGTGTGGGGCCCCATCAACATTCCAGAGAGCTATGGACATTGTTCTAAAGCCTGTCCT